TGAACCTGAAGCTGTGGTTCTATTCCGTGAACCTGTACCTGAGATCCCCTCCCAAGAGTCAGTGTACATCTGTCATGTACATCTAAAGTGGTGGTCCCCTCCCAAAGCCGGGAGAGGCGGTCCTGTCCCAACAGTCAGAGTTGTGATACCCTCCTGTGAACTGGAGCAGTGGTCCCCTCCCAAGGACTGGAGCAGTAATCCCTCCTCATGAGCCAGAACTGTGATCCCGTCTTGTGAGCTGGAGCTGTGGTCCTCTCCTGTGAACCATAGCTGAGATCCCTCCTGTGAACTAGAGTTGTGGTCCCCTCCCTTGAGGTGAAGCTGTAGTTGCCCCTACTCCATCCCTATCTTCCACCCCCACATCCATCCCCAACCCCAACCCTGACTCCCACCTGCCCCCACTTCCATCCCCACCTCCATCTCCCCAACTCTGTGAGCAGGACAGAGGTTTAGGAGGCGGGGCTTTGCTGAAGGAAATGTATCCCAGGGACTGACTTTGACAGTTCATGGCCTCATCCCACATTCGGTTTTGCACTTTCTGCTACCTGTGCCTGCTTGGAGGTGTGAGCTCTCAGCTTTCTGCTCCAGACCCCTTTGCTGCCATGCCTACCCACCATGACTGACCCTAAGTCAAGTAAAGTCTTCCTTCTGTAAGTTGCCTCAGTCATGGTGTTTTATCACTGTAACAGAAGCACGACTAATATTGCTTTTACTTTTCAAAAATTTATTATTTATTTTATTCTACGTGTGTGTGTGTGTGTGTGTGTGTGTGTATTGCCTGCATGTAAGTAAGTGCACCCATGTCGGCAATGCCCGTGGAGGACTGAAGAAGCTGTCAGATCGCCTGGGACTGGAGTTACGGACAGTTGTTAGATGCCATGTGGGTGCTGGGATTCGAACCCGGGTCTTCTGCAAGAACAACCAGTATTCTTAACTGCTGAGCCATCTCTCCAGCCCCACCGTTACTTTTTAAAGTGATTTTGGAAGAAAGACACATGATTTTATGTTATGCAGAAATTCTATTACATTTAAAATTCAGTGTCCATAGATAAAGTTTTATGTGACTGCAGATACGTTTATTATGGTCATAAATTGTACATTGTCCGCTACTACTTTCATATTGTAGTGGCAGAATTGAGTAGTTGTAAAGGAACTTCATGGCCATAGAGCCTAAATTAATTTCTCTCTGGTTCTTAGAAGAAAAATGCACTGATCTTTACCAAGTGGGAAACAGACATAGAGATAAGCCACTTGCAAAGAGAGTAAGAAATAAAAATATAAAAAAAAGGAAGGAAAGAAGGAAAGAGTGGGAGAGAAAGGAAGAAAGAGAGAGAAGGGTGGTACAAATAATCATTAACTCAAGATTTCACAGTTTGTAAGCACAATCAGGAGCTGAAGTTTGGTATCTGTGAGTTTTGTCTTCTAATTAACACTGACTCCCAGTTTAGACTGTCTTTAGAGCATTCTGATATATTATTCAGTCACACTGTACTCTACATGAAATAATAAATTTATATTCAGAAAAAAAATCCAGTAACTATTGTAATAAAAGTAAGAGATGGCTTTTTATTCATCATCTTAACAAAATCCAAGAATAATGAAAGATACTGGCTGGCAAATGAATGGGAAACTTCTTTGGATGATGATAACACGATGTTATCAAAATTACAAGTGCAAAAAATTCTTTATTAGCAATTCTGCATTTAGAAGCTGAGTTTTTAAATGCATTTATACATGTGTGAGTTGACATATATGTATTTTTTTTACTATAATACTATTGATAAGACTACAAATACAGAAACAGATATTCATGAACTGCAAACCCATAAACAAATTCTGGTAAGTACAATATACCAAATTCAACAAATGAAGTATATAGATGTAAAAATAAGT